GCTTCTTCCATGAAAACAAAGGTTTCCTAAATTCCATCTGCAAGTTTGAAAATTCAAATATTTAAAACTTTCAGTACTGCCTCCCTGCCGCGTTTTGCCTGTTAAACCAGTTTTTTTACAGAGACTCCAGAGACAAATTCAAAATTACGTGACGTCATTTTACAGTGGCATATAACCTGCACCATACTGTAATGAAACAGCATGATTGCAACTGAATTTTAATTGATGTTATTGTAATAAAAAGGTTCAGAGAGTTACCAGAAATCCCTCCTACCCCGATGATGACGAGCCAACCCTCAGCTATTCCAGATTCCTGCTCATTTTTATTCTAAGTTTTCGGGTGGGGAGGGGGGAAGTAGTAATATAACATTACACAGCAAGATTTATTGTGCAAACAGCACAGCAACCTAAAAATAAATTCTGCCTAATCTATCTTCCTACACAATTAAAGCACTGAAAATGAGAAAGAAAATTTGAGGTTTATTCTGGATTTATTGTAGGAATACAGGCCTAGGTAGCACATGGTTTATATATTTGTTGTTAGCGTACGGTTCATGAGAACATGAGGAAACAGCAGAGTTTAATGACACCACACTTCAGGTGTACATAGCAAAATCTGTCCGTCGAATTTGCTAATGGAATAAACGGGACAAAACCTCAGAATTGGCCTAAAAGCTTAACAAAATACTAACAAATCAAGAACCGGCCCAAAAAGCAAAGGCACCAAGACCGTCGCCAGATATCCCTGCAGAACGCCACTAAACAAGCCGAGATCTCCAACATCCAACGAAGCCCCCCCCCAAATGCATCCATAAGAAATGGGATTTGGAGACTTTCTAGTTTCTTTTAACAGTGTTAGTACCCTTAAACCAGCTTAAGTTGTTTAAAACCTGTCGAAATCTGGCTTGATAAGCACCAGCAGCACAGAAGCAGCTATTATATTACTTATTTAGGTACTGCTTGAGCTCACACGCATGCTGTTGGCCAACGAACCCCCAGTTTAATCACACTGGGCATTAAATACATTTATCCTCAGGTTAAAAAGGTGATCTGGGTGGGCCAGGCATCTAAACACGGGGCACCATGCTCTTTGGGTTTCCCTGATAAAAATTCAAGCTTCCACGTGCACGCCTCCAACTCTGAAGTCTCAGTAATCGCTCAACAACATTACATCCCTCCAACCAAGCCGAAAATTAGCAGGTTTGAATATCAACCCCAGCTGGGGTTTTCCAGACGCAGAAAGGGTCATTCTAGTAACTTAGACCCCATTTTGGCCCATTTTGCAAACTGTTCGGCCTGGGTGCAATAATTGGCTGGATTGTATCTAGGTTTGCTCTTGCGATCCATCCCCTCTACTGAAATCACCCTAAATTTTGTAGGGACGTAAATAAGTAGTATTTCGGGCTCACACACTCCCTCTACCGGCTCCCTGCAAGCCGCTAATTAAAGTTATTCTTGCTTGAACTTTTTCTAGCAAAACAAAAAATCATGATTCATTTCAAAATGAAGGCAAAACTGCAGGCGAGCCAGAAAAGAAGAACGA